TAATGGGTACCCCGGCCAATTACCACCCAGAACCGCGGTACCATCCCTCACGCACACCTGGGCCTCGCGTACGACAGGGGGAAAGTTTTGGCGGGAAAATTGGTAACTCGGGAACACGAAAAGGTAGGAAGCTGAAATTTTGAGGTTAAGTTCCCGTCCAAATACAACTCAAAAATTTCAAATTCAGCCTCCAGGTACGCGTGGTTCCCGCGTAAGGCCCCGTGAGATTTTTCGGCGGGAAAATGGCTAGCTCGGGGACTAGCAAAGCTGGGAAGCTCAAATTTTCAGGGAACGTTTCTAGCCCATGTGCGACTTGAATTCATCAAATTCATCCTTCAGGCATGCGCGGTTCTCACGTACGGACCCGTGAGATTTTTCGGCGGGAAAATGGCTAACTCGGGAATTAGCAAAGATGGGAAGCTGAAATTTTCAGCGAATGTTCCCGATTCACTTACGACTTAACGTTATCGAATTGTGCGTGGTTCTCGTGCACGGGCACTTAAATTTTTGGCGGGAAATTACTAATTGAACGGCTGGGTCATTTTCAGAAAACGACCGCTAAACGGATATTGTTTATTTTTTTTTATGCAAAATTTACGGTGAGTTAGGGTACTGAGAGCACAAGGTAGGTGTAAAGAAAGAGCTACTCATGCAGTTAACCTAATTATTTCAAGTCTGGTGCAAAAACGCATGATCGCACCGGCTCGCCTGGTGCTTTCCAGCCTGGGTTATTATGAGGTGATACAATTAGGGCTCAGTAATGAGCAGTCTCATAGTATTGTAATTTTAGTTTTAAATGATGTGTGTTTATGTAACCCAGGCTGGAACGCACCAGGCGAGCCGGAGCGATCATGCGTTTTTGCACAAAACTTGAGTTGGGTTAACTGCATGAACGGTTGTTTCTCCACACCTACCTTGTGTGCTTAATGCCGAAAATTATCGTAAATTTTACATAAAAATAAATAAAGTATTTCCGTTTAGCGGTGTTTTTATGCGTTTTTGCTGCGCAGCGCTATAGCAGCGCTATGGCGCTGCTACAGCCAACAAAAACACATATTGTCGAGAGGCTGCCTGTGTTTGTGTGTGTGTGTGTGTGTGTGTGTGTGTGTGTGTGTG